CCTTTCCATCATCAAGACCCTTTACATCATCACCATCCTTTACAGCATCAACACCCTTTACATCATCCCCGCTCTTTACATCATCACCTCCCTTTACATCATCACCACCCTTTACAGCATCAACACCCTTTCCATCATCACGACCCTTTACATCATCACCACCCTTTACATTATCACAATCCTTTACATTATCACCACCCTTTACATCATCGCGACCCTTTACATCATCACCACCCTTTACATTATCACCATCCTTTTCATTATCACCACCCTTTACATCCTCGCGACCCTTTACATCATCACCCCCCTTTACATCATCACCCCCCTTTACATCATCACCACCCTTTACATCCTCGCGACCCTTTACATCATCACCACCCTTTACATTATCACCATCCTTTACATTATCACCACCCTTTACATCCTCGCGACCCTTTACATCATCACCACCCTTTACATCATCACCACCCTTTACATCATCACCACCCTTTACATCATCACCACCCTTGACGTCATCACCAGCNCACCCTTAACATCATCACCACCATTTACATCATCACAACCCTTTACACCATCACCATCTTTTACATCATCATGACAATTTACATCATCACCACCCTTTACATCATCACCACCATTTACATCATCACCACCCTTTACATCATCACCACCCTTTAAGTCATCACCAGCCTTTACATCATTATCACCCTTAACATCATCACCACCATTTACATCATCACAACCCTTTACCCCATCACCATCTTTTACATCATCATGACAATTTACATCATCACCACCCTTTACATCATCACCACCTGTTTACATCATCCCCACCCTTGACATCATCACGACCCTTTACATTACCACCCTTTACATCATCACCACCTGTTTACATCATCACGACCCTTTACATCATCACGACCCTTTACATCATCACCCCCCTTTACATCATCACCACCTGTTTACATCATCACGACCCTTTACATCATCACGACCCTTTACATCATCACCTCCCTTGACATCATCACGACCCTTTACATCACCACCCTTTATATCATCACCACCTGTTTACATCATCACGACCCTTTACATCATCACGACCCTTTACATCATCACCTCCCTTGACATCATCACGACCCTTTACATCACCATCCCCCTTTACATCATCACGACCCTTTACATCATCACCCCCCTTTACATCATCACCCCCCTTTACATCATCACCACCCCTTTACATCATCCCCACCCTTTACATCATCACCACCTGTTTACATCATCACCCCCCTTGACATCATCACGACCCTTTACATCACCATCCCCCTTTACATCATCACGACCCTTTACATCATCACCACCCTTTACATCATAACGAACCTTTACATCATCACCACCTTTTACATCATCACGAACCTTTACATCATCACCACCCTTGACATCATCACCACCCTTTAAACAGCACCACCCTTTACGTCATCACCACCCTTAACATCATCACGCCCCTTTACAACATCACCACCCTTTACATCATAAGGAACCTTTACATCATCACCACCTTTTTACATCATCACGACCCTTTACAACATCACCCCCCTTTACATCATCATCCCCCTTTAAACATCACCACCCTTTACATCATAACGCACCTTTACATCATCACCACCTTTACATCACTTTACATCATCACCACCCTTTACAACATCACCACCCTTTACACCACCACCACCCTTGACATCATCACGACCCTTTACAACATCCCCACCCTTTACATCATCACCACCCTTGACATCATCACCACCCTTTAAACATCACCACCCTTTACGTCATCACCACCCTTAACATCATCACGACCCTTTACATCATCACCACCCTTAACATCATCACGACCCTTTACAACATCACCACCCTTTACATCATCACCACCCTTGACATCATCACCACCCCTTTACATCATCACAACCCTTGACATCATCACCACCTTTACATCATCACCATCCTTTACATCATCAC